TCCCTAATAAACAGTAACTTGAAGATTTAGGGCTTTTTGTGGGGTGGTTTTTGTTGGTTGTTTGGGTTTGGTGCTTTTTAAAAACAAACAAACAAACAAAAAAACCTGGTGTTCTTTTTCCAGAATTCATTAAGAGATTCTGAACAAGTCAGGTGTTAGCTTTTTCAGATGACATCTTGAGTTCTCCAGGGAGAGAGTAAACCAGTTAAAGGGTATTAAAATGTAACCAGTAATGCTAGTAAAGATACCTTACCATCCATCATATGCCCAGAGTCCATTATAAAATGCCAGACCAATGGAGCTAACAGAAGTTTTACTGTCCTTGAAAGAATCTTCAAAGTTTTCAGTTTTTCCTGCAAGTAAATCATAGATTACTGATCTGTAATGAAATTAACTTAATCCTCACCAGATGAAGAAACATTCCACTGTCTGTTTCATTTTTGAAATACATTGCTCTTAAATTAATACAGACTTCCACTAATTGATCTCTAGTGTTGAATTTCCCACTCTCCTTTCTCTAAAAGAAAGTACCATTGTTCCCAACAGATCTGAAACTAAAACACTGAATAGAGAGCGCCTTGCTGTTGTGCCATTTCTGTCAGGGCAAAATTTTTAAATTATCAGATGCTAAAATTTTTGCAAGTAAAGTGTATTTAATTACCTTGTGCAAGGAGAACGATTCCACTTACAACAATGATTGTGACAATGATCATTTTAGCAGCTGTGAGAAAATTCTGGAGATAGCTTCCCAGCTTCACACTCAGTGAATTCACTATTGTGATTACCACTAAAAGAAAGAAAAATATATTTCTGCATTAAATGTCACAATTGAAAGAAAAATTGCCTCTTAAAATCTTCCTCTTCCCACTGTACTGCTTTTTCCTTGCACTGTGTGTATTTTTCATATAGTTTAATGTACTATGTTTGGGTAACTTTCAAAATAGTGAGGAAAAACACTTTCTGAATTAGATTTTGATAGTATCTTCAACAAAAAAAAAAAGTTATACTGAAGTTGTGCAGTGTTGTGATAAAAACAGAAATAATATCTCCACACTTAGTTTTTCTTCCTTTTCTGCTAGAGATAAGCATTCATTACACAGCTGTGTCTGTCTTAGTATAAGAAGAAAAGAAACTTGGACTAGGAACAAACCATTTTTAAACCTGACCGCCTTATATGTTGTTCAATAAGTTCTTGTGGGAAGGAGTCGCTATATTGTGTTCCGAAGTTTTCTGTTGCTTTCAGCATAGGATTGCTTCCTGATGTCTTGATGAAGGTTGACCTGCTGAAATCTTAGTGTGCTGCAATGCATTCATTGATGGGCTTGAACGGAAACCACTGTGCAATTATGGACCTTGTCTCTTTCTTAAAAAGTAGGAATCTTACCAATGGCAGCTGCTGCAAGGCACTTGATGACAACTTGCGGTGGATCGCAACCCGGATAAAAAGGAGCTGATGCATATTCTGCAAAGCTGAGACAAATGATTGCAAATGAACTGGGTTTTGTGACGAGTAAGCTTGTCCAAGAAAACAAAAATGCTGGAATTGGGCCAAATGCCTCCATAAGGTAAGGATATTCTCCCCCAGATTTTGTGATCATTGTACCAAGTTCAGCAAAACAAAGTGCACCTGAATAACAAGAAAAGTATTTATTACTGGTGTAGTTCATACGCTTCTTAAGCTCTGACTGGCTAGGAGAGATTATCACTTTTTAATAGAAAAGAAAATGGATATATACAATGCATCACTGTGCTTTTCGTGTTCCTGTACATTTTATTGTATATGCAAAATAAAACTTTCATTACTTGTGAGCAGTTGTAAAAAATACGCTGAAACTATAAAGTTGCAGTTCAGGACTTAGTACTATTGGTGTTTAAGACATCAGCAAATAAAGTGCAAACATTCTGACTTCATGCTAGATTTCTCTTTAAGAAATCAACACTGTAAGAAGCATCTAGGTGACCACTGCACTGGCTGACCTACCTTTTTGAAGGTTGAAACAAAAACTTGCTGTACAGTTTTGAAGTAAAATGACTAGTAAGCTCAGCTTCAAAGTACAGTGATATTTCTGGATTTATTGCTATAGTTGGCATCTTGTGTAAAGGTGTTTTGTGTGCTGTATACCTGGCACAGTGCCCAAAGAATTCCTTTGTTTTACATCTTGAAATATTTTGAGGTGCTTAGTGCTAAATTTCAGATAATGGAATGAGATTTACATAAGTACACAAAATAGCAGAAGTACCAGGCTCACTGCCAGTAAATTTCACATTTTTCCTATGATTTAAGTAGAAAAGTATTCTCTTTATTAGAGTTAATGGATGAAGTATGAACAACTAAAACTTCCTTTCAAAATAAACTGAAAATGTGCTTTACAACTTTAAAAACTTAAAACGTGTCATGTGTAAAAAAATAAGTAAGTTTTTACCTGGGTACTGCTACACTCATCAGGGTGTGATTGATTTTGGTCTAGGAGCTATTATTAGCTAATTTGTGAAATGATAGTAGTATGCAGAAACAGTAGATACAAAGATTTAAGGAAAGTTTGAAATTCTTTGACTCCTTTACCTAATGTTGCAAGAACTCCACAGGCTGCCCAGATGGTTAAACAAGGACCCACAGCTCCAACATTGGCAAGTACAGATTTTGGAGAGACAAAGATACCAGAGCCAATAATTGTACCAACAATCATACAGATACCACTGATGAGGCCCACCTTGAAATAAAAGGAGACATTTTGGTAAAATAATTTCTAGAAATTCAATAATTTATTTTTCAGTTTAATTCAATTATAGTAACTGTCATTGTTGACTTGGGTTGCTTTTTCTGTTTTTCAGCTTTCAATGTATAGCTTCTACTAAAACTATGTGATGTTTCTCTTTTCTTTACAAGATGCATATACCCTGTGGCTGCTCCTGCTCCTTCTAAAAGTACAGTTATTTAGACTTTCCCTGCTTGTGTATTTGTTTTATTAAAGCATCCTTTAGATTAAGTGGATCTCAGATCTAACTTTGTACAAGTGAACATCCTGTTTCTGCTCTTAGATTAAACACTGAATTTTTTTATGAGCACTTGAGGAATTATGAATTTTTTAAGGTTTAAAAATTTCCTTTCTTGGATGGAGTCATTCCTTTTTTTTCTTTTTTCTCCTTTTTTTTTTTTTTTTTCTTTTAGCAGTTGTTTTCCTCTCCTTGTTTCAGGTATTTGTGCACTGGAATTCTCTTGATACTGCTAGATGGTGAAAAGATCATGTTCTCTTGACTTTGTAGTGACCTGCATGTCACATGGAACTACTAAAACCTGAGGCATCCCCTGCTAAAAAAACAAAAAAAAACCAAAAAAACCCCCACCCAAAAACACACAGTGGTATGGGCTACTTAAATTTTCCTTTTGTTTACAGCTAGTCTAATATAATGTCAGTATCTTGCCTGTCTTGGTACCAAGCTAAAACCATATACAGAATCTTTATGCATGTTACTTAATTTTAAAGAGGAATTCTGCTCCCTCCTGAGAGCTAGTGGCACATCTATTTTCTGAACAATCTGTAATATTCTGGAGAAGAAAAATTGTCACTTGTCTTTCTATACAAACACTAACAAGCTTCCAGAACCAGTGAGCTGAACCACCCACTTCAGTCTCTGAGAAGTACATGTGGAAAGAAAATTTATGAAGTGTCTCACTTGTTCAACTTCAAAGACTTAAAATAAATTGTGTTTATATCAGAGCTGTTTAACTAGTAATCAGTAGTTTCCTAAAACGTAAGCCAACCACACTGTCAAGATATTAGTACATCAGTGCTAAATTGGGACACAGTCACAGTTTCTGTAGGATGATGCAAGTTCAGAGGCACCCCCGGCTCCCTCCCTCCCTCTGCCAACCCCTCACGCTTGTGGACTGAGGTGGGGGGAAGTTTTTTGCCTGTTTTTGTAGGTTTGTCGTTTGTGGTTCATCACTCAGAATGGATTGTCCATCTTCTTTTCCATTGTCCTCTCCTTTTCTTTTCCTTAAGCTTTTTTCACCCATTTGGTTTCCTTGTTGAAATCTCTAAGGAAATAAGAAACAGAATATCAGTCAAGCATATTAATGTTTGCTTGAGTTTTGCTGATGCACATGGGTGGAAAATAGCATAGGTAAATATTGCCAGAAAACATGAGCGCACACACACTCACAGGCAAAGGACTTTTATCTAACTACCTACTTGGAGATGAAATCCAAGTCTCCTTCACCTCATCATTCTGCCTTGCTGTGGATTTTCCTCATACCCACCTGACAGCGAATGTCTTTCTGTCTTCTGTCCTAGGTTACAGGTAGTTGAGAGGATGTCCTTACTGGAACAACCTAGAGTTTATAGTTAGTCCCTCCTTTGAATTCCTCCAGAGGTCCAGACAGATTTAATCTTTCTCCCAAAAGCTAGTCTGTTTTCTTATCTAAAAGACCTTCTTTCTGATCTCCATTAAATTAGGCCTTGTCTCAATTCCTTGGAGATGCAAGTATCTGCTAAACCAAATGTTGTCTCCTGTAATTGTCTAATTAGCAGCTCTTTGCCTCCAAAAGTCACCAGTCTTCTCTGTGTCAACTCAGATCGAACATCTTCTGCTGAAGGATTTGTTCTGTTTAGAATTAGAATGTAAACAGTTTGTTTTCAAATTTGAATTTAGACTTACGATTTTTTGTGAGAATTTTGCTTGTTTCCCATAGTATTGGAATAAAATACAACCTGAGGTAGTGAAGGAAATTGATCAGGTTAAGTCCTGATTCTTAAAAGTTGATTCAGTCAAAAGTCTCTTCTGTCCTCAGACCCTACAGCTATAATTACTAGAATCCCAGTGTTGAGATCAGCTTGCAGTAATTCAGGAATGCTTCATGTTTTGGTAATTTAGCTACTATCCAGTAATTCTTGGCTACAAAAACTGTAGCATTTTAAATTGACAGAACACCTGGTGCTGCTGGTCTTCAGAAACATTTGGGCTGTCAAGACATCTGGTTTATGTTTTGAGTTAGAGGTTTTTAAAAGAAATCATCACAAATGCAACTTTTAAGATTAAGCCTACAATAGAAAATTGCTCATGTAAGGAATCCAGGGCTTGGGTCACTGAATTTTATTACAGCTTTGTGCCCAGCTTCTCTCTAAAGTCTTGTATTTAGAATGTGTTAATCATCATCTTTTAGCAATTCATACTTTCACTTACCTTACTTATTTATATCCGTTTGGTGTTAATCGAGCTCCAGGAATCTTTGTACAGTGTATTTCTTTATTTCTCCCGTTAGATTCACCAGCCAGTCGGACAGCAAGACATGTCCATGTCTGAAACCAGAATACGCAGAAGCAGCAGCAGCTTAAGTACAGAGGTTATAAAAGATAATAATTAAACCCATTCTCAGCCAAGAAGCTTTGAGATAGGAACCACAGGTAAACCAATAGTCCAATTAGTTTATCTTTAAAAAAAAAAAAGTCTTTGTTCCATTTGTGAGAATGTTTGTCCAGTACCTAAGTAGTGTATTACATAGTGAGAGTGAACCATAATTTGAAGAGTCTTTTGGTGATTTTATATTAATCAATTTCTAATTTAAAAATACTTTAGAAAAATAACCTTGAAGTAATTGTCGTATTATGGGTGCATTAAAAACATCTGTCCAGGTGTTATTTGTATCCTATAAAAATAGTTTGTTTTTATTCTGAAAAGGTAGAGAAATGTGAGCAAAAATCTTTCCTTTGTTTTTTATTAACCTGAAGGCAGCTCAGCAGGCAGCTTGTTCCTTTCACTTCAGTTCCAATTAATTTTTCTTTTTTGTAAATGTTTAAAAATCTTGCTGTAATGAAAAATGCTTTTCTCTATTTCTGTACAGTTGTATATCCAGGAAAAACGTCTTGTTATCCTAAATTCTGAAATAAGGTAACTTTTTTCATTCCAGCTAGTCATCCCTAAAATACTTGCAAAAAAACCCTTAATCACTTGGTTGGTTTTGGCAGTGCAGTGGTACAACTCCTTTCCTGTAAGACACCCAAACCAGTAGGTCCTCATCAACCATCTAACTTCAGCTGACTTTTTTCAATAAACATCTACTGTTAAAAGCCAAAAGCTGTACTGGTATTAGTCACTGATGTCAAGATTTGTTACCTTGTTAAGATGTTGCCTCATGAACAATAGTAGCACAGGGTTGGAAATAGGGCCAAATTGTTGAACCTAAGTATCAACAAAACTGTATCCTGGCATGATTGGACAGATGGTTGTTGGTTTTTTTTGGTTGGTTGTTTTTTTTTACCTTCTGTTTAAGCATGCAGGCTTGATCAATAGGAATTCCTTTCTCTGGTAACGTTAATGTAAATCTGTGACTAAAAATGGACTCTTAAGAAAATGTGAAACAGATTTACATGGGTTTATATTTGCCATGTTTTGTGTTGGTTGAGCCCCACTCTATGCTGTGAATGTCTTTCTCCAAGACTGAGATTGCAAAGTAATGTCAGGACTGAAAATAAAACCCAAAGCTGTATTTTTTTTACTCACTGTCTTGCTTTTTCTTCTTTGTTTTTCTTGTTTAATTCTCACAGAAATAGGGTTAAGCTTCAAGAGAAGCTCTTCCATCTTAACATCTGAAGGCTGGTCAGACAAAAGTTCTTTTATTCCTACAGATAAAGAGAATAAAAAGTGTTCAAATTATAGTCTTACTACAAGTGTATGAAAAGCCACGTATCAACAGCTTCTTCGTTTTTCTGCATCTTTTGCAAAGACTTTAAAATATTTCTTGTGGTATTTGTGATGTAGGATTAAATAAACTAATATTTCTATATCCATCATTTGCAGATGCCTAGTTTGGTATCGGATATTATGTAATGTAGTTCTGTGTTTTCTATAGCTGATAACTTTGAAATTAAGATTTGTTATCTTCTTGTCACTCGTGTTTTTCTTGAAATAGTTAATGTGAAAGAAAAAAAGGAGAGGAATTGTATTATGGGGAAACTTTGTCCCTTTAAAATGAAGTAGATGCATTTCACGTCATCTCTACCTTGGAATTTCCAGACCAACAAAAAAAAAGGGGCAAAAAAAACTTACATAACTTTGAGAAGTTAATGGAGTATGTAATCTTTAATTCCATGTTACATAAAGTTTTGCTTAGGATTTTTTTTAGATTTAGTGTAGGTAGTCTTGGAAGTTCTTGTGCGAATGTGTTTTAAGCATCTTGTGATGTTTTAGAATGGCTTTCCTTTCCACATCACATCTATACTGTTTCTTCAGATACAATAAAGGCAACATTGAAAATACGTTGTTTTAGTTTTTGCCTAAGCAACCAGTTTCTTTAGTCAGCCTGGAATGTGTATTTGGAGAGTTCCCATCTGTTGAACAGGTGTCTTAAATCGCTGCCAGTGTCTTGACCCTAACTAGCCTCTGTTTCCTTATGAAAATGGAAAAGTATATTAGTTTATTGTCTAGTTTTGTTTTAGGGGTTAATCTTCTTGGGATGCTATAAACTTGTTAAAGGATTTGCAGTTTTGCCAGCAATCCTTCTTTTCCTCGGCCACTTAAGGAAAAAATAAACATTGAGTTCAAGGATTCTACTGTTATTTTCTTCATGGACAAGAGAAATGGCATTTTACAGCCATGGGAAAAGATTCCTTCCCTCTCAAATACATACATAGATGAAGAGAGATCAAGGAGTTCAAATTCCAAGGGGCTGCAGAAGCCCTGAGGGTTGGTCCTGTCTAAACAGTGTAGTTTGAACCTTTTCAAATGCTATTTACTAATTAAATCGTAAAAAGTAATTTTCAACTTTAATTCGGGAAATAGCAAGGGCACAGTATATAAATACACTTTTTATTATCATTAGTCACTAATAATAAAGGTTAATGTTTGTTAGGGTTGGTATTTATTGCTTGCAGTAATGCACGTGCTCTGCTTTGACCAATACTTAAGCAAATAGTTAGGATCATTCTGACTTGCAGATTTTAATTGTAGCTTAGCACTATCTCAGAACAGGTACTTTCCATTCTAACCTTGCTACTTAACAGGTTACTTAATTTTAATCGGAGGACTTGCGCGTTTACTTCCACTTGCTCTTCTTTCAATGCTACTATTAGTAGATGTGCTGCAAGAGGTGATCTCACTACTGTCATCTTTAAATGCATTTTAATTTTTTTTTATTCAGAGGAATAGCAGGCATGTTACAAGTGGAATATAAGAAAGCAGTCTTTTTTTAATATCTGTGTCGATGCTGGGTTATACTGCTGGGTTGCAAGATCTTTGCATCTGATGGGAGTCAATAGGAAAGATTAGATGACTATGTAGTTCTTACTGCCTGTAGTGTATATGTTTTTTAAATACCTGCATTTTTTTCCTTACTTAGTTCTTGGTTACAGTGTAGTTGGTTTTGCCCCTGGGACAAAGCAAGCTGTTTAAAAGATCTCCAGGTTTGCTAAAGGATTTGCACTAGATATGCCTGAATAGTGCACCTTTTTCAGTAAGGCAAAGTGGGTTTTTTGTTGTTTTAGGGGGCTTTTTAGTTTTTTAAGCACAACTGTTCAGAGACTCTTCATAAACTTGTAAATGCTGGGTATGTCGTTCTGTCCAAAAGATCACAAAAAACAAGGAGTCTCTCCTTAAGGATGTTCTAAAGAGATTTTGATGGCCTCAGAAGAAAATTAGCTTGACTATATTGAATTAGTTTTTTTCCCGAGCTTTCAGGAGCCAAAGTTTTTAATAGTGTCTCAGAGCCTCATCAGAATTAGCGATTTCCCTAGTACACAGCAAGCACCTCTTTTTCGGTTTGAGGAGGATCACCTCACTTTGATCTCCTTTTTGAGTCCAGCATTCAGGTTGCATTCCACTGGTGTTTCATCAAGGAGGGATTAGCAGATAACATTGGCTTTGGAAGATTGCATCTTTATTGTGCCCGTTTCTGGCTGAGGAAGAAAAGCAGTGAGGGCTGAAGTGGTCTGTAGAGGTTATGATGCTCTGTGCTCCCTACTTTTGAAGTCTCAGTTTAATTTTAAATTTATCAAAACCAAGCATTTGATATGTAAAACAGCTTTTAAGTACTACAGTATATTTTTAGATATTTTGTATCTGAATGCTTGTTTATATAGGTATGTTGAAATTGGCTTAGTACAGAAAAAAGAATTCAGAGCTAAAAATATCTGGTGTTATCACTCACTGAGAAACCATTTTTTTAAAGGTAAAGAAGCCTTTCAAGTGCACCTGCTCTTCTAGATTCAAGCTGATTGACCCTCTAGAATTTTCCCCACATTTATTGACATTAGGTTTGCAGAGTAGGATAAGTGCTCAGAGCTCTTCTAAGTAAGAAGAGCTGTGCCAGGCCACTCAAGGATTTGTAGTCCCAGAGGAAAAGCTCTTAGAACTCCTGATGCAATGTGCCAGTATAGTGGGATGAATTTTTCATGGTGAAGAATCTTAGGAGGCTCTCTTCTGAACTGTTGAAGAGCAATGTTCTGGCTAGAAAGGTAGTAGCATCTTTCTGGCTTTAAAAATAGAAGAAGGGAAAAGAAAACAGCTGGGTTTAAATGACTCCTAAATGGGTGGAGGAAAATTTTCTAATAGGCTAAAAGTTAGAAAATCAGTAACCCTCAGTTCACAGCCCTGTCTTAATGTGTCTGCCGAGTGTCAGAACCCCCTGGTATTTACACAATAACTGAAGCACAGAGTACGCAGAGTATAACTGCTCTGACAACAGGAAGAAGTAATGCAAATATATTTTAACAGTAACTGAAAAATGCATTGGAACTACTGAGGCTCTCCAGTGGTTTTGTTTTAGTTTTAGAAAGGGGTGGCAGGGTTTGCTTTTTGAATTTGTAATCACATTATTTAACACAAATTTTTTTTTTAGGGAAAACTTATGTTCAGTTATGGACAGCTATGCTCTGTAAATTCAGCAGTAAAACTTTAATATGACTACAGTTCCACAAATTCTGAATTGTTATCTCTGTTCCTTGACAGGAATTGAAGAATGCTCCATAGTTTTGTTTTGTAGAAGGAAGCTGAAACTACTTAGTTTGTTCATTTTACAGACTGGAAGGTACGGTAAATGGCAGGAGCAGTGTATCAGAGTCTGTGTGCTCTGTCAGCAGTGGTTGAGGTAAAGCAGTAAGCTGCTAATGGCAGGTGGGTAACAGAAGAAAAGATAAATTGGCATGGGTAGAGTTCTTGTAGTAGAATAAAACAGCCAAATAATATAGTATAATAGTATAATATTTATGAAACAAGGCCAAGTAACATGATTTAAAAAAAACTCAGGAACTTCTGGGGGTTTTAGGTATCATTTTTTTTCAATACCTGTGAACTAAGCAAGCTCATTT